GCTTGTTGCATTCGGGGCCCGCTGGGGCAAAGTGCTGAATGGGGAACACTTCATGAAACACGTTAACCTCTATGTCGTCGGATAGTTTCTCTGAACCATCTTATGCCGCTCAGATTTGTTACGAAGCCTGACACAATGTTCCTTGTGAAGCCCTGTTGGCCTTACTATTCGCCGCTGCGCAAAGTGAAGAGACAGAAGGAACATTACGAGGAGGAGGGGAGCAGGAAAAGGAGATCAAATTAACATCGAACTGGGATTAGGAAGAGCAGGGCGGGTTTGTATGAATCACCAAATCATCAACACAATGGGGCAAAATGGTTCAAACAAAACTGTCCGAATGGCTTATCCGTCTGCCGGGGCTCCATTACCTGAGTGCACCTTTCAGTAGGAATTGCGTCAACGACGACTCCACCATATGTGTTGGCTTCGTTTTTTGGTTTGTGCTTTTGTTTCGTCTCGATTTCCGGCTTTCTGGCGGCACCACAATAGACGACGCCGACAAACAAGCTTGTCCACAATGTGGATTTGCGATGACCTTTCCACGGCGATTTTAAGATCGATTTCCTCAAGCGCGCAGAAGATAGACAGACCGCCAACGATATCATACGGAACGACAGCTGGCATACAAACTAACAACAGTGAATCAACATTATACTTGACAAAAGCGGGCGGGAAAGGGAAGGGGGTATGGCATTCCTGTATTTTGTTAAAGGGGAAGCGTGTCGCGCCTCCACAAATATTGTGAAATGAATCTGCCGATGACATTCCGTACTGAAGCCGTGATACGCATTCCAATCTGCGCGTGGGCTAGAAGCCAAAGGGCGGGCGGTTTGTCCCGGCCCGTGTTTCGCAGGAGGGTGCGGGCATTCGCCAATCCAAAATTTGATTTGGTCAGCTTTCGCCAAATTAATTGCTGGATCTTCTCAAATATTTGATCATCTCGCTGACGTGTGTCCTGGCATGCGGCCGCTCCTGCAAGATGGATAGAAGCGCATAAATTGGCCCTTTGCCCACGCGCTCTGGCGTATGGCACGATTCGACTCGACTCAGGGTACGGACAATTTCCTATCCCTATCGCGATCTTGATGGGCCACATTACTGGGGGCATGAACGAATAAAGACAAGACGAAACGCTGGGCCAAACGCACGCCGGAACGCACACAAAATTGGGAAAACTCGTTTGCACTTATGTTCTAGACCATGTGCGGCCGACAAGTTAAAAGAGCTCCTAACATCCATGATGCTGCGCTTCACGATTGAATTCCGTTTTCTTGTTTGTCTATCTGCTGTCAACTGCCGTAGGCAAGACATCCAATCCCGCACGCTCCAGGCATGTGAATCGTATACTGCGCAATGATTGGGTGTGACCTCGTGGAATCGAACACTTCGGAGTGGTAGTTCGTGGAGCAGATTGTCGTTCTCCTGCCCACTGTCTCTTCCAGATGTGTTCCCCACGGTGTCGTGTCGCTGATATTGCTGTGCCCCCTCGGGCTTGTTGCCAATCTGCTGGCGATGTGTCGCCGATTCGAGCTCGATGCCCAACCCCTCAGAGCCAGTCCGCCCGCTCTCGTGGAGGCGACCCATGGCACCCATTCCCCAGGCTGCCCTCCTGAGGCGTGCATGGCGGCAGGATGGGCCGAAGGCAATTGGACATGCAAACCTCGCTCCTCGTCTGTCGTGCGCCATTACGTTCGGGGCAGTAACCGACAAGGTGCGCCGTTGGGATCGTCTCCACACTGCTAGCTTCCCGGTCCGATGATCGCACCGATATGGCATGTGCCCCGCATTGTGGCACGGACACTTTCGTAGATCTGGGCGGTATCGTTTAATACGCACACAATGTAGATCTCTTCGTGATATGCCAAGCGCTCCTCCTGGAGGTTCCCCACCATCCTACTGCCAAATCTTGCGAATCTGTCTTTTCTCGTTCCTACATTTGACCTGCGATTGCGCGGTGCACGGGATGAGAATCTGCTCCTGGTGAAGGGGTGCAGGCCACTGGGGTCCAGTTGCGAACAAAGCGAGACGTGGGAGGTCTGGGCTGGCTGAGGACCCGCGTGCCCCAGCTTGGCCAGATGAATTGGGGAAGGATGATGGGCAACCCAAACACTGGGCCCCGCTCTTCTACTCTTTGTTGCTTCTCCTGCGAGCGAACACGGCCATGCCTCCGCGCGCGTCTTCTCGGCGGTGAGCCTGGGGGGGGGAGGGAAGAAGGGGCGGGCCTCCTCAGAAGGCTCGGAAGGACCTGGGCCTGGAGAAATCCTCTGGGCCTCCCCCGAAGACACAGAAAACACCTCTCAGAAAAGGTGAGGAGGCCTCCCGAGAAGTTTCGCCGCCTTCCGGTGAAGCCTTCTCCTCATCGCTTTTCCCCCCCTCGCTCGCCGCCGGTCCTCAGGGCTCACGCGCCCCGGAGGAGGTCCGTGAGGCGCGGGACGATCAGGGGCACGCGCTGCAGGTAGTCTGCGTGGGCGCGGCGGCGGGAGGATGAGTCATGAGGCGAGAAAAGGCACACGAGGAGCAGGCGAGGAGGAGGAGGAGGAGGAAGAGGAGGGGGGCGGAGGATGAGGATGAGGATGAGGATGAGGATGAGGATGATGAGGAGGAGTAGGAGGAGGGCGAGGAGGAGGAGGAGGAGGAGGAGGAGGAGGAGGAGGAGGAGGAGGAGGAGGGGGGTGAGGAGGAGGAGAAGGAGGAGGAGGAGGAGAAGGAGGAGAGGGAGGAGGAGGAGGAGGAGGAGGAGGAGGAGGAGGAGGAGGAGGGGGAGGAGGAGGAGGAGGAGGACGAGGAAGAGGAGATGGGCCCCATTGGTCTGTTCCCCTTTCCTCTGCTCCCCTCCTCGTGCTCCTGTGCGCAAAGGTGTGTATGCATCGCTGAGAGAGGGCAAAGAAGACTAGATACAAATGCTTGCAACCGCAACCGTACCAATGACATGCAGGCGGCTGTGCTGCGAATGCCGAGTAAGGAGGTAACACAAATGATGCAGCAGTTCAATTACTTGACCCCCAAACTCTGAACCATCATACATGCACTAACTTGAGATCTTGATGTAATGCTGTGCGTGCGACAGCAGGGACAACGGACGGGTGCAAGCTCTGGTGCAAGAGGGAGTAGGTGGAAGCACGTGGATCCATTGGAAACAAGGGCAAACAAGTTAAAGCACGTGGACCCATGTGGAGGCGGGCTTGTCGAAACTTCCAACGATGCACCGCAGCCATGTCGTGGCTTGTGACGTACCAGCGCGCCACAAGAACACCTAAGACGCCAAAGCAATGTCTTGATTTTGCCACACCCAAACCCAGATGGGACAAGTATCATCCCATCGCCCCGACATCCATAAAACAACTCCAAGCACGTGGCGAGTTTCTGTTAGCATTACAAACACATTTCAAACATACTCCCTGGCTCGGTTAACAAGTCTGACTATAAAGATAAACTCTGGCTCGAACGTAAATCTCAAACGTTAGTGTTCTCTCCAGCTCCACTCCTGTCCCCGAGCAGTTCCAATGCAATGATTTGGGCACCTGTTTCAAACACGTGAATAAACACTGGACCCCCGCTCCGTCCCCTCCCCTCCTGGACACGAGACTCGTTGACGCGCACACATGTGTGGAAATAACATGGGAACGGCTCCGAGGGCTGCAAGCATTCAAACTATCCCTGCGCATGCTTGCGCTATCCTGCAACCGATTCAACCCATATTAATTAAACACTGAAGGCCACATGCTGACCTCCTTCCGCTCTTCGGACAGATGCTTTAAGCCCGAATACACACAACAATAGACACCTGACGAGGCCTTCCATGCACTCAGGCGCTGTGTCACTATGGGGGGGGGTAACTCATGAAACAAGACGATGGAACTCAAAATTCGTCCTTCCATTCATGACATGAGTTGGCGCGCTTACGTGCCTTGGTAGGCTGGGTCTGCGCCGTACTTTCCTGTGCGCGTCGCAAACAGGGCGAGACCACATATTGCGAAGGCCTGGCCAATAACGCATTGCAACAACAAGCGTAACGTAACACACCATTCAACATGACGTTTAGAATTTTGACGGACACTCATTAGTCAACCGTGATGCGAACTTATACTTGCAAGCTCGCACTGGCGCCTGCCCAATACATCTCAACCGAAGACATACGTAACAAACTACCAAGCGTATCCGCCACCGTGTCGTCAGCACTGATTGAAGTGTCCTCGAGTCCCTTTCAGTTCAATGGTCTGAGTTGTAGTTTGTGATTCAGCTCTCTTTGTGGGGCTCAGAGGCCCGTGTTCCAGATGCTCTCGGGCGCTTTCTGCGGTGTAAGGCAAGGCCTTCCCTGAAAGCACAAATCGCTGAACCACCTTCAACTTTTCAAATGTATGAAAACCGGAAAGGGGGGGAGCATGTATTGGCCCCGGGAGCCCACCTGTTCAAGGATGCCCCCCTGGACCGCCGCTCCAACTCGAACACGACGGCGGGATGGGCCAGAGGTTATGACATGCTTCCTCGTTGCAGAACTGATGTGTCACAGAACGCACCAAACTTGAGGAAATTTGTGAGCACATCGGCCCGAGGACGTATCTCATGGTGATGTGGGGTCGCGGACGGGCGGACAGGGATTACTGGAACAGGATGGAATCAGCAATTGGAGCTCGGCAAGGAGGGGAGGGGGGGCGAGGGGGAGCGGGGAGATGCATGCACCAACGCCGAAGCGGACACCCACACATGCTCAAGCAAAGGACCGTCACTTCCTGCTCCCCCCATCCCTCCCATGGGGGGTCCTCCCCCCCCTCCCCTTCATCTCCCTCCTCCCCCTCTCCCCCTGACTCCGTCACCCTGCTGCTCGTCGTCGTCCTCCTCCTCCTCCTTCTTCTCGTCGCCGTCCCTGCCACTCTCCTCCCACTCCCCTTCGTTCCCTCTCCCCCCTGCTCCCCTTCCTCCTCTCCCCTCCTTCCTTCCTCCTCGCCCTCCTTGCCCCCCCCCCTCTCCGTCCCCGAGGCCCAAGCACGGCCCTCCTGCGGCTAGCTTGACCGTGTTGGTGAGGGAGCCGCTCGCCTGATGGGGCAGCGGCGACGGGACTTCTCGGGCAGGGGCGGAGGGAGGCAGAGAGACGAGGGCGAGGCAGGACGAGAGGGGGAGGAGGAGGAGGAGGAGGAGGAGGAGGAGGAGGAGGAGGAGGAGGAGGAGGAGGAGGAGGAGGAGGAGGAGGAGGAGGAGGAGACGAGGGCGAGGCAAATCGCGGGGGGGGGGGCGGGGTATGGACGGAGAGGAGAGGCCAACAGCCCGCGGTCGCGCACGGGGGTCAACGTGCGGAGGGGGCGGAACTACGGAGGGCGGCGAGGATTCAGTCGGGCATGTCCCTCTACAAGAGGAATCTCTAAAAATAGTCAAACATATTATGGGGACGATTTGTTGTTGGCCATTTTTTGATATTTTGAACATGTTTTGACTCTTTTTGAGGCGAAGGGGGGGCTCTCGCCCTGCCCCTCTCCCATCCGGGGGGCGGACGGCGACCAAACACCCATCGAGCATCTCCGACGGCCTTCGGCCTCCTCCCCCCTTCCTCCTCCCTTTCCTCCTCTCCTCGTTCCTCCGTCCTCCCTCCTCCTCTTCCTCATGCTTCCTCCTCTCTCCTCCCCCATGCTCCTTTCGACTCCTCCCTCCTCCTCCCCCTCCTCCCTCCTCCTCCTCCCTCCTCCTCCACCTCCTCCGCCTCCTCCCTCCTCCCTCCTCCCTCCTCCCTCCTCCCTCCTCGCCTCCTCATTCCTTCTCCCCGCCCGGGGGGGTGGGCGGGCCGCCCCCTCTGCAGGCATTGGCCGCGAGGCGCCGCCCAGCGCGTGAGAGGCCACCCGCGGCCACCGGGGGGCCCACGGGCGGGCCCGCCCAGGCGAGCACGCGGTGCGCACCCGCCCAGCGCGCCCGAGGCGCGCACGAGGCGCCCGCGGGCGGGCACCGAGCGAGACCTCGGCGCGCCCGCCCAGCGCGCCCGAGGTGCGCACGAGGCGCCCGCGGGCGGGCACCGAGCGAGACCTCGGCACGCCCACCGAACGCACGAGGGGCCCACGAGGCGCCCACGGGCGGGCACCAGGCGAAACCAACTGCGGGGCAAACCAAGCACACCCATTTGACTGCCTCAAGGGAGCACCGGAGGAAAACAACATGTAACAAGAAGGGATCGCCTCCCCCGCTCTTACTCCTCCTCCTCCTCCTCCTCTTCTGGCTCTCCTCATCGTCCTCCTCTTCTCTCTCCTGCATTCTCATCTGCCCCTCCTTTGAATTTGTCCTTCTCCTCCTCCAGGCTTGGCTCATCTGCGCGAGATACCAAGACACATTCGAAGTTCGATGGCGCCGCTCTCGATAGATGGCGGCACCTGGGCGGCCCACTCGCCTCCTTGAGGGGGGGGAAGTTCGGAGGAAGGCATTGTCAGGATTTGGCCGCCGAGCGTGGTCAAGAGACGCCGCGATGAAAGCAGGCATGGGGCAATGAGCGTTTTTCTATTCGGCGTTTCGACATTGGGCGGAAGGAGGGGGAAAGGGGGGTCTGGCCCTGAACCTCTGCTTAATGGCGTCTGTTTGGGACCGTGCGTCCTGTGGGGGAGACCCCACCTGCCCGAAACAGGCGCCAAACACATCCCAGATCCACTCCATGAGGGGGTGGGTGCGAGGGCCCGCGCCGATCGGCAAAACAATGAATAGAACAACGATCAACCTCGCGCGGCCCGAATCCAGAAGGATTGCCGGGCTCCTTCTTACTCGTCCTCCTCAATCCTCCTCCTCCTCCTCCTCCTCCTCCTCCTCCTCCTCCTCCTCCTCCTCCTCCTCCCTCCCCTGCTTCCTCTCTCCTCCTCCTCCCTCCTCCTCCTCTCCTGCTTCCTCTCTCCTCCTCCTCGATCACACACGCGAGCGCCTCGTCGTCTGTCTGCATGGCGTGGCTCGGCGGGAACACCGAGCATGCGCGTGCGCCTCCCAGCGGCCAACGGCCACGCCCGGTGCAGACGCTGGCTCCCTGTCAGCGCCGAATTGTCACTGGCTCGACCTAGTGAGCGTTTTTTGTTTGTTTGTTGTTTTTGTTTTTTTGTCTTTGTCTTTGTCATTTTTGATGTTTTTTGTTTTTGTTGTTTTTTGGTTTTTGTTTTTCTGTCTTTGTCTTTTACTCGGCGTTCTGACATTGGGCGTGAAGGGGGGGGGAGGGGGGGGTCGGGCTCCGACCCCTGCTTAGTGCGACTATTTGCAGCGCTGAGTCCCGGAGGGGAGACTCCATCTGCTCGAAACAGGCGCCCAAAACAACCAAGATTTACTCCATCGGGGGGGGGAGGGGGGTTGGGGGGCCCGCGCGGATCGGCAAAACAATGAATAACAAAACGATCACCTGGGCCGCCAGTCTGGTGTCAGGGCAGAGAGACTGTAATCATCGGCTTCCCTGACTCGCAGTTTTTTTCGGCAACTTCGTAGAAGAAATGGAGCGCTCCTTTCACCCCCTTTTTCAATGTTGCTGAATGTGAATTACGAAACAGTCATTATTGTTGGACACCTCAAATGCGCCCTGGCGCTCTCG